TGGGTTACATCAATCATCATCAACAGCCTTTAATAGTCCACTGCTGGACATAGGCCTCTCCTTAGAAAGGAGGTTTTGGCCTACTATACCACGCTGGCCAGACGGGTTGGTATAGGGATTGTATCAAGTTTTCCTTCTTTTTGCAGTGCTGGTGTCCTGCGTTGTTTTGCGCCCTTAGTCGCCTCTTACGACACCCACGGGATGAATTGGGGTAGTGACATTCCGTATTCTTAATCCGTCACTGTGTGTTGGAGTGGGTTACGGTGTGTTGGATTTCGACACACCACTGAATTGTCGCAATTTAATTGCCTACATGAACAAATAACAGTAAATACTAAAACGTGTGTGGGTTCGAATCGTAGGGCTACAGCATAGACAAAGTGTCTAGTACGAACTATAAGTATTAGACAGTGCGTATACATACTTCACACATTCATGTTAGTTTTAAATCTGTGTGGGATACAAATAAAAGTTTTTATGGATATGTATTTCATCATCAACATCAAAAGCCTTTTTTAATACTCCACTGCTGGACATAAACCTCTCCTTAGAAAGGAGGTTTTGGCATACTATACCACGCTGGCTGTCAAGTTTTCCTTCTCTTCGCAGTTGTTGTCGTGCGTAGTTTACTCCCTTAGTCGGCTCTTACGAAACCCACGGGATAAATAGGAGTGATGACACTCCGTATTTTTAATCCTTTACCACACTAAATGTCTTTAGCTGTTTAATAATAAATGTTTCTCATTTACACTAGTCTTATGCCACTAAGTTCAATACTCAGTGACCCAGTTTACTTGGTATTTTTTATATTATGTACAAAAGCATATTTTCATAAAAACTACTTAAATTACACTTAAAAGCAGAATCTTATCTAAATACTATACTTGATCCAAATCGTTTACGAGGCGAGTAGGTAAGCTTTTGCGTTAGTTTTATTTAAATGAATTTAAAAAGATATAGGATTTGTTACTAACTAACCTAATAGTACCGATAAAAGTTCTATTTGTATGGCGTAGCTTGGAGCATAAACACCTTGATGAAATAAACATTAGTAAGAGCAAGAACAAGATGACTGGCAGGAGCTGGATGCGAGAAGCCCAAATCGATCTGATTGGCGTGCAATGGGAGAGGTCTATGTCCAGCAGTGGACTGCGAAAGGCTGCAAGAACAATCAATGTTGACTAAAACGCCAATACCGCGGCTTATATAGAATTATTACTTACTAGCTGACTCGCGCAACTTCGTCTGCATCTTTAACATTTGTCCCGTTTTGAAACATTTTTTATCGTAATATTAAAATATAGCCTACAGCATTCTTCGATAAATGGGCTATACAACAATAAGTTTATTTTCTTCAATTCGAAATAGTAATTCCTGAGATTAGCCAACCAAACAAACGACCAACCAAACAAACAAACAAACATACACTTCAGCCCTATAATATTAGTTTAAATTTTCATTTCACGCGTATTTAAATAAATATTAGTACGAACTTTATGCCTAGCTTTAGTATTAGTTCGCTACAATAAATTTGATTATCACTAATACTGATAGAAGAAAATGCAGATTTTACGCACTCGTATATGACTCATGTAACAACAGAATAGTTGCATCTTTAAGAATTTAAGTCTTAGATACCAACTATATCGAACTCTTTCATAGTAATAAATAATGTTATTAATAATTGTAATCTTACGTACTGTGACAAATACTATCTAGACGTTTATTGACTTGATATATTATTATATACGTGCCTTGAAAACTTAAGACTGAAGCTGTAATTAAATAATTATAAGAACTTTATTGTACATAAATGTATTACAAGTTATTAATAGCAAATATAAGTGTCCTACTCTATGGTGGTATCCCGTCATTTCCCTGCGATATTAAAGCTTACGAATTTAACTCGAACCTGGTTTCAGCGTTGGACACGCACCTTTACTTCTTATATCTTCATGTTTATCTATATGTCACGAGTGTCGCCAACAATTTTTTCTTCAGCCATAAACATTACATATTAAGTTTTTTACATTACATTTAACCCATAATTTGTTGCGACTGTAACATGGCCGCAACATAATTGCTATTTACTGTTAGCAACAATGAATTTGTTTTCAGTTATCGCACTGTTTTAACGGTAAACCTTGTATAAACTTCCGCCATCTGAAATGTGGTTAACAAGAATATGCTCTGACGGCAAGTGGTATCGGTTGCATAAAATACCAAAACTGAAACCGGAATCACACTGCTTTATTTATTTACTACAAAAAACATACTATATACTGTGTCGTGATGGGGATGTAAAAAATAATCTTCCATCGACTTAACGGTGTAAAAGTCACCCAGGGTTGGCAACGCGCTTGTGACTCCTGAGTTGCAGGCGTTCATGGGCGGCGGTAGTCGCTTTCCATCAGATGACCCGTCTGCTCGTTTGCCAATATTCCATAAAAAAAAACAACTATTACAGCATAGTACACGTACATATGTAACCCATCTGTGATCTTATCTCCCTGACCTAAACCTACCCAAGACTCACCTGGTGGGTTGAATAGGTGGACACCGCACACTTATGCCGACTTGCACAATGGCAACGAAAGGCACTACTGGCAGTGGAACCATCGTCCAGATCTAGACGGCCAAGTCTACACCAAGTCTGAGCTGGCAGCCGCGACTTGGTTCGCATGGAATTTGGAAAGCGCTGCCTTAGTGGTATAGTACGGAACGCGACTCCAATCCAAGAGGCTTTGATTCGATTCCCGGATCGGGCAAAATTTTATAGGGTTTTTTAGATGAAAAATAGCCTTAGTTACTCCTTTATTATATAAACAGCTACCTGGTAGTAATATATAATGGAAATATCAATATCAAATCAATCAATCAATATAAATCGAAACAAACAGACACTGCAATTTTAGTTATTTGTATATATAGTTTGATAAAAGTTTCAAGATTTGCGGCATTTTATTAGCATGGTTCGATGGAGCGAGAACTTATGTGTTAATATATAAATATATATAAGTTTTATTCCTACAAGCACCTCATACAACCAAGTTACCCATAAATATATCACTTATTATCCTTATGCTAATGTAAAACTTGAACAGAAATGGCCGTAACAAATTACGTAAGTTAGCACTTTCTGAAATCTGGTTGACATAACAATATTATCGGCGTTTTCACAGCTTTGTTACACAACCTTCAAGTACCTACATTACCGGAACGACGTCGGATTTCTATAGTTGCCCTCATACTCGTGGTTGGCAGTAACGTCCCTTTTTAACCAACGTAAAAAACGTGAAAGTTCTCAATTCTATTGTATTTATTTTGCGTCATTCTTTTCTACAAGATAGGTTTTAATTTTCAGAGGGGTAACATAATATTTAAAAAAATAAAATAAAAAAAATTACCCTAGCGTCCGAAAATCGTTAAAAGGAAAATTGCAAGTGGCATGGCTTAGAAGATGTAAAGGTATTATTACTAATTGTGTCGAAAGCCCTTAAATTATCTAAACATTTTAGAAGGTTATAGAGACATCGAATTAGCTAAAATTACAGGGTATTTTGTCACGGGTCTGTTTTTTTTTATCTAAAACCTAAGCGTCTCTCTTAATTTGGCTAAAGTTTGAATTTCAAAAGAAATTCTTTTAGTTTCGAATGGAGGAGCAGACGCTCGACTGCATTGAATCTATTAATTGCAGTCAAACGTGAATTTATATAGTACTTACAGTTTTCCTTATTAATAACAAGTTATTTGCTTACCGGTAATTGGCCATGTAAGTTGTTTATATGTTTACTGCATAATATGATAATCACACCACCACATTTACCTATACATGTGCATATTTATTTTGAAACACGAACATAAACATGTGTAAGTTTGTACAGTGTTTGATACATACTAAATCAATACTAGAATATCGTCTTGTACTTGACACATCATTGTACCTACCACTTCTCATCAATTTTGAGTTCTTTTTTTCCTTTTTTTTATTTATATGTGTGCTAGAAGGTTACTTAAAGGATTTCTCTCACACACATAATGAAATATGAATTGTTATTGTTTAACATAAATTTTAAAAGACTTAAAGGGCCAGTTTTGTACAATAATTGTTTAAAAATCACATCGTTGTCTATAATCGAATCTAGTGCTTGTAACCTTTTGTAAAGGCTTTTAGGGAAGAAGAAGAAAATCTCTGCAAACTGTAACCCGACAATGATTACGATATAAGAAGATTTCTTTAATAATTTGTTTAAGGTAATAGAATTAAAATAACTTACATGAATACAATGTGTTGTCACGTAAAATACAAAGTAGGTAATAGCTTAAGGTAACCTATTGAAGATTTTGCATGAAAATTATCATATCTATTAATAGAAGTTAATTGACTTGCACGAATATGAGATAACGTGCATTATTACTCAGGTACGATGAATTTATCAGTTCGCTTTACTAATTAAAAACCGGTTAAGAATTACGTCGTCATTCACGCTCCATCGAAACAATATGGAAGAACTGGTTTGTAATTTTATCTCCAACTGGAATTAACTAGATATAAGGAAGTATCGGGATATCAGGTGAAAGTCGATCTCGCAATACGTTTTGTGAATAATAAATAACTTCGCTTCATTGGAAATGTTATTTAACTTGTTGCGATACTTCCCACATCCAACCGCGGTTATCATTTTTGTTGATATGACGAATTTCGTAATTGATATCTTTGACGATGTAAATACTGAAAGGTAGCATGACAATTTCTTTAGTCTCTAAGTGGTTGCAGTTGTATTTTCAACTAACAACGTGATTGCACACAAAATTGGTAGGTACGAAATTGATCTGTGCGCCATCTATATCTATCTGCTGTAAACTCATTTGGCTCATAGTGGGCCTCAGTGGCGCAAAACAAATTAAAAGCAATGCTTTGAACGTGTATTTTAAATATAAACTATAAACTAATAAAAAAACTATAAGCTATAAATTAAATATAAACTCTTTTTTTACAGATTCATTCGTGAATAGTCAAGAATGGACTGCCTCACGAGGTGTAACAGAACTTCGGGTTGGAGTTTTGGGGTCACCGGACAGTGGTAAATCAGCTCTTGTTCATCGATATTTAACAGGGGCATATATGCAAGAAGAAAGTCCTGAAGGTAATGTCCCAAATTATGTTTGTAATAACAATAAACGGTTATGTTGCGAAACTGCCACCTAGCGATAAATAGCAGTACTTTTGTAACTCGAAGTTGATGACGTAGTCCAAATAAAGACACTAGATGGCGACACTAAATAATTCCTGTCCAGTTTAGTGACTATCATCTTTCACTAGATAGAGCTATAGCAAACCCAAAAAGTTCAATGAACTATTGAGGGTTTCATTGCACTGATTACACTGCTTGAGGGTTTGATTAGAGTATAGGACTTCAACGCAATTTCTTTATATTCAACCAATACCTCAACTGAACATTATAAATATCTCGTAATTATGGTGATTGTCATTTGAATTTGAAAGTTTAATAAGTTACTAGGGGGACCCGAGAAACCTCATTTTCATAATATTAGAAAAATATAATAGATACCCTAAAATCATGGCATTAAAATCTAAAAAATAATTTGGGTAAAAAAATTAAAATCAAACTTTAACATAAGGATATTGTCTCATACAAATACCATTACAATTATTGACTCTACTCGTTAATTTACCAAAAACATATATAGGTACCTACTTACATGGATGATGCCAACCTCGCGGTTGGAATTTGATTTATTATTTTTCCGAGTAGCAGCTTTAAAGTCTTTTTAGAAACGAGCAAGTATTACTATTATTTACCCTGTTAATGTGTTATTTCTAATGAGCACATCATTAGAAGTAACACATTTCCGTGATGGGGTGTTTACATCAGTTATATAATTTAACAAAGAATCTTACAATGCAACTAGGTAGGTAGTAATATTTATATTATAAGTACTCAAATAAACAATATTTAAATGAAACTACAGCTGAAGAAGACTCGTTTAAAACAGTCGTATACAAAATGGTAAAAGTTTTAAAACTGTTCGGTACTCGGCAGTTTTGGGCCGTTTTCTACTTTTTGTCTTCGATAAATATAACTTTAGGCATTAATAATATTGTGATGTAATAATATATCCTAAATGATGGAAGAATATTATGAAGTAAATGTTATTTCTATTATGCGTTTAAACAAAAGTGTGGTGTGGTTTTATGAAACCACGATGCAAGTGAAACCTTTTTTCCGGTTTAGGGCATTAAAATGGCGTTTTTAATCTTATCTTAATAATCGGAAAATAGGAATGATAATGGGAAATCAATAGTAGATAAAATATCCAACTATAAATTTAAATTTTAATATGCCTATTTAGAGTCCAGGAATAGAAAATAAATACAATCACATAGACGCATGTTAAAAACTGAGCACATTCTACACGGTCAGCTGATGCGAGCGCCGCCATATTGGCCTTGGCTGTAATGCGACATTCGATAGATGGACAAAAAAAATTGAGGCGATGTAATAAAAGTTTTACTTTAATAAAACGAGATACTTCTTTATCCCCTCTCCAGTTTAGAAGTACTTAATTCCAAACCAAATAAATGTTGTTTTGCAGGCGGTCGCTTCAAAAAGGAAGTGATCATCGACGGCCACAGTTATCTTCTACTCATAAGAGATGAAGGGGGCTCTCCGGAATTGCAGGTTGGTTTTAGTACGAATCATTTGAAATACTTACAAGAGAAGTAGTAAATCGCCGCTTCAGACACTAATAGTGACCATCATTAAAATGTCTGATGACGGTGATTTACTTTTTTAATTACTTCAATCTAACTGCCAATTATACATTTATATATATTTTACATTAAGAGAAGAAAAACTTGAAACAAAACCCGATACCAGCCCGTCTGGCACGCTTGGTAGGTATAGTAGGCAAATACCTCCTTTCAAGGAAATGCCTATATCCAGCAGTGGACTGTTAAAGGCTGTTGATGATGATATATTACATACCAACCTGGCAGATGAGCCAACAGGATGCTGGAGCTGTTACTGATAAAGCGCCAATCAAGTTTCAAAATGCTCTTTTAAAAATTTTATATTTTTGAAGCGACTAAACCAACTAAAACCATACACTATTCCTGTGATCTTAGTGGTAGAAGCCCACGTGAACCGTGACTAAGAAGCCATGTAGAAATTGCCTTCTATAATTTGACTGCTTACTTTATCTTCTTTATCTTTATCTTTTTTAAAAGACAACTCCCGCATTAGGAAAATATCCTGTGTCGCGGGGGACTTTACAAACATACATGAAACGGACACAAAGAACACCCAGACTCAGAACAACAATTTGTGGATCACACAAAGTGTCGTCCCATGTGGGGTTTGAACCCACAACAGTCGGCGTAGTAGGAAGCGGCGTGGCGACCGCTTAAACCGCTACGCCATCCGTGCAGTCAAAAGAACGTTGCCTATTTGCCGCCTTAAGGGTATAAACAATTAAACAAATATCTCTTTGATTAGGCTAATTTATCAGCTTTAAAACAAATCTTACTTAAAATTATTAGTTTCTAGAGAGCTCAAAAAACTACGTCCTTTGTTCAGTAAAAAATCAATAAAACGTAAATAAATGATTCGTGGCGTAAGTAGCGTGTGGTTCTATGCTATAGCGTTCAATGGTGTACTGATACCATGTCCTTTGTAACCGGTGATAGAAGGCAAGCTTCACGTATTACGAAATAGTGACCTACTTCAGCTACTAGTAATGTGCGTGTCTATTGTTGAGCACGACACGAGAAATTTAATTCATTTTAGTGTTTTCTGTTTTTGTTGGTAAGGAAGTTATCATTAAAGGAAGATAATACTATACCAGTACATATCTTATCTATAAAGATTTTTGGCGCAGCAAGTACCTTTTTTATATAATAGAAAATTTTAACCGATTTACAGTATAAAATATGATTTAAAGTAAATGAAAGAAAAAATCTAGTTTTTTATGTTATTCCATTTTTTATAATGGAGGCATCATAAATAATTAAAAACTAAATATACGTATAAGAAGTTTGTAATGATTTTACAATTTTACTTTATTTTATTGTTCCTATGTTCATTGTCCATTGCTCTGCTATGCCCCACTCATACTTCCGCTTGTGTCCATCCTAGTTCTTAATCCAATCCGTGCTCCTTTGGAACGCTCTGCCTTTGGAAATCAGGATAGCACCTAGCCGCCTTTCATTCAAGATAAAAGTTCGAGCTCGCATTCTGGACACCCTAGCAGATTCATTCCAACCTTAAAGTCTTATATATTATCAATATGTAGGTTTTTGTATGTATGTAATTAGGAAGGTATTTATGTATGTGAATGTATGTAGTACGTTTGTATGTATGTATTTATCTCAGTGTTTCTGTCCAACCTCAAAAAAATCTCTTCCTTTACATATCAATCTCTAGTGCACCGAGTCACACATTTTCACAAAAAAACCTTTTTACAACAATATCGATAGAGAAGATTTAAACGTTTAAGTTTTACTTTCTATAGTATACTAAATATACAGTATATTAATCATTAAAAGTAGGTAGATATTTAAAAAAGCAATTTAATGATTATATGAGGTAGGTACGCCGTGCCGGCCACAATGACAAAAGCCGTATCATATGTAATAGTGGATCTACGCGCTTACCAGGATGCGCCTATCGATTTGTGCCATAAAACTGTGCTCGACGGGACTCGGTACATTTAAATAGACGTTATTTTGTTTACGCTATAACAAAAGCCGTTTTACTGCCTGTCGTAGCAAATTTACAAGCCGCTTAGCGGGTTTACGATATTTACCAAAACATTGACTTTTCTTGTTTCAATACGATGTTTCCTTGTGTTGTGTTTGTTTTTTAAATGACTTCAAAAGATTTTATGTGGATTTGTATGCCATTTACATAAAATGTTGAACAAGAATTAAGTATACTGCATTATCTTGCAGGTGCTTCATCAGCACTGTTCGCCCTTCTTCTGTGGTTAATAAACACTTTTAGTGCAATGTAGTATTGCATCTGATGGTAAGAATGATCACTAGGAATCTGTAGAGAAAGGAGGAGACAGAACGAGATAGTTCTTAGATACGGATAATCATTTATCATTTGGTGTCCACGTAGATTACAAACTTACTACAAAAGGCAAAATGGAACATTTCAATTTGTTAGTAGGTATCTGTTGAATAAAGGTTTCCTTTCTATAAAAGTGATCAACAGTATTTGAAAGGTCGCCTGCTGCAATACATTTTTGGAAGCAAACATAATTACAAAAGTAATCAAGGCGCACACGAGCATTTGCACCAGACCTCGTGCGGCTATGTCCTCAGGCACAATTAAAATCTCTATTTAGCTCAACAACTCTATTCAGCTGCAGAAATACAGCACTATTCTATTAGTGCTGGCATACCTTTTTTTGGGTCCCTTCACAGAAACCTAATAAAAACTAAACAATTGCACCAATCAAGAACAGATTCCACAAGAGGAGACCTACCTACCGTCTAACACAACTCGTAACACAAATAATATAACCTACTATCACTAGCTGTTTCATAGAAAAACTGTATTAATAAGGAATTTTTCAACTTCAATTCAAGGCACGGCAAATATTTAAATATAACAAAACACGACAGCGGAAAAATAGAATTACAAAAGATACCAAAACGCGACTGTAAATTAGTTTTTACATTTTCCTTTTGGTTCTTTTGTACAAATATCTTTAAGTATACAAGTAAAAATGAATGATGCACATGTTACATACATGATAAATTCTAGGCGGGATACTCCAAATGTTATATTATTTATTATTTGGATTGCCTTCAGACTTAGTAACAACGTGCATTGTTATCAGTTTCAAAGAAGACGACTTACGACTACGTATGTAAGGACAACTGAACCTTATGAAACACTATCGGCAAAGAAGCTAGAAGGTTAAACTCATACACATATAATAGCGGTTTAATTACAACTGTCTGGGGATTATATGTTATTAGGATATAAAGGAAGATGAAGAAAGAGCCCAAAAAGCTAAAAGCTCATAATTAAACTTTGTAGACACCTCAGTACACGAAGCAAAATACAGAGTGTTTTAGTTTTCGTCAACATACGACGGTATCCTCTCAAGAGTAAAGAACCCATAATCATATTCTTTTACAACCCAAACATGTATCTTCTATATAAGATATCCTCCAACTTATATTACGAAAATCGTAAAATTTGACTGAGGAAGTTGTCTTTTATATTCATGTGTACGTTGTACACTTGACGTAATTTTAGGAAAAAATGTATAATTATCATAACGTACTTACACCACATGATGTAAATCAATTAGTGGCCGGCTTTGATTATAGCTAGCTCGCGGATAGCTCATCAGTTCTTCATTGCAACCAGATGTGTTTTTAAATCTTTACATAGTAAAAAATAAAGTCGTTTTTTTGTGTTGTACGCTTAGATCTTTTAAACCAAGCAACGGATTTTAGTGCGGTTTTACCAAGAGATTAACTGACTGAGAATAGAGACAGTGATTCAAGAGGAAGGTTTAAATGTATAATACATGCATATTATAGTAGAGAAAATCTGGGTTAACCCGAATGTAAGATACCGGTGTATTTTTTTAATATATATTTTTTTAATATATATTTGATTCACATAACATCATTTTTTACAAAAAAATAAAAGTATATTTTTATTTACACTGTAGTATTTGAAAGAATTTAGTTACTAATCTTTTATTTGCTCTGATTGTAACAATGATAATAATTCATTTAGCTAAATACTCAAAAATCCACCCGAAAATGAGTAAAATCCTACTATCTGACTAAAATAAACCGATTCCGTAGTACTTTTTAATGTCAATAAATAATTAAAATCATAGCCTGTGTCAGCAAGTGCATGTACGAGTAGGTATAAAATAACGTTTAATACCTCTGATGACTACTATCCCGTCAGATCTAAATCGTGTCGGTATCGTAAGCTATAATTGTTCATAACTCTCGTACATATATATGTAGGTATGTATGGACACTTGTCTTGAAATCTGCACAAAGCAATCCCAACGGGAGCTAGTTCTATTATCGTTTTAATTGACGCCAGTGCTTTCAACACTCAATCGATAGCGATTCGATTTGTGTTTAGTTTGTGCAATTGTTCGAATGTATTCAACTGTGGATAACTAACGTAATAACGATAGTAAATCATGTTTACTCTACAATAATTGATGTTAAAAAAACAGTTTTAGTTATAATTACGTCAGATTGAATTAAGTATTGATTGTATCTATTCATATACTCGTATTGCAATTTTATTACTGCCCTGCATTACGCTGAGGACCTCATCATTTATCTTTACTATGAAAATTGTGAAAACTTGAGTGAAAACTTAAGATCTTACCAAGTCATGGTGTAAAAAAATATTATATTTCATATCCGAAAGTATAGTTCATACTATAAAGGCGTTACTCCTACATGCAGTGTCAATGTCATGTGTAGCTTATTTATACGGTTATTCTTATATAAGTTGCAAGTAACAATAAGCTAATTTAGAATCTTCAATCTATCCTTCTTCACTTCTATTGATATCTTACCCGCATAAACAAACACGCCCAAACCTTAAAATATCAGCCACTTAGATTCGCACGCTAACTGACGTGTTATCTCACCCCTTCCTGCCGATCCCTGTAACGA